CTCGAGGAACATCTCGGATCGCCTTGCGAAAGCATGCGCGCACGAAGCCGTACAACGCACGCGGAATGGACGCCCGAGCGAAGGCAGAACCCCGCAAAGGGCCAACCTTGGCTTGGGGGGCGCCCACTCAGGCCTCCGTGACCCGCCCCGCGGCAGACTCGTCTGCGTTCGAGTCGAATCCCTGATATGCTACGTATGTCCTTATAAATTGCCCCATTCCATGTGGCTCCAATCCTACGCGTCGAACGTATGTTTCTATCGATTGGCCCTCTCCTGAGGGCACGCATCTGCAGTGGTTTGAATACGTGTGCTCCTATATTTTGCTCTTCTCTTGTGGCTCCAGTCCTGCGTGTTTGACGCATGGTCCTATCGAATGGGCTCTCGTGGGGCACGAATCCTCCCAGGAGGCCCCGGGAGGCTCCAGCAGGCACCAGGAGGCAACAGGAGGCAACAGGAGGCAACAGGAGGCACAATGAGACCCCAGGAGGCCCCAGGGGGCTTGAGGAGGCCCCGAAAGGTTCCAGGAGGCCCCAGGACGCAACAGGAGGCCCCAGGAGGCCCCAAGAAGCTGAAAGAAGCCGCAGGTGGCCCCAGGAGGCCACAGGAGTTGCTCCAATCCCTTGTAGTGTACGTATGTTCCTATATGTTGTGCTTCCCAATCCCCGAGCTTTGCTCCCAACCACTGACTTCTTTTCTTCCAGAAATGGAAGGGAGCTCGGGGCTATACCCCTGCAGGGTGGTCGGACCCACCTCTGTCCAGGACGAACGTCCCCCTATCGTATATCCCCTAGTGTGGCCCAGTTTCCCAGACAAGTCGTAAGCCCCACCAAGCCAGGGATTCGGGTCGCCATATCTCCCGTTAAACAGAGTCGCAACTGAAAGCTTCCCATCTCAAGAACGGGCACACCGCCCGTAAACTCATAGGCAAACTTACCGCCGTGGCTCGTCTTGGACGCCAGACGCTTGGATCCCTGCCATCGCCCTCCCAGAACCATCGCCTGGGGCGCAGGCGACTTGTCATGGCCACAATATGCTAGAACCTAAGCGCGTGTCTCTAGCGTGTTTGAACTGCACATGCCTGAGCCCACCAGAAAGGATCGGACCCTGTACCGCACGTCGTCACACGGACAGTCACAGCAACGATGTTTGCCAACAAGACGCTTTGGTTTGTGGGGCACCGGTGCGATGGTGGTCGTCAGCCTGGAACGCGCAGGTGATCGCCACCGTCCCCAGCGAGCGCCTGCTCACCTTCCAGGCGAAGGATGGATGGGGACCGCTGTGCAAGTTCCTGGGCGTGCCCGAGCCAGCGGAGCCCTTTCCCAATGTGAACGACACGGTCCAGTTCAAGGCGATGTTCCGCGCGCGTTGGCGCCAGTTTGCTGCAATTGAGGCCAGCATGCTGCTGGTGGCCGTCGGCGGAGCCGTTGCGCTGATGAGGCGCCGCAAGTGACTGAGGGCTGCGACTTCGCGGAACAGGCCCCCGTGCCGCGACCCCGCGGATGCGGGGCGTTTGCGGGAGACGTGTCCGTGCGACCGCGTAGTCGCTGGATCGCGCCCGGGAATCCGGACCTCGAGGTCGCGGAGACGGATCCGTTCGCTGCTCGTAAGTGTTTGATGACGGCCAGCCTCCAGAGCACACCTCAGCGAGGCCCAGAGTCCGCCGCCAGAGTCTGTCCACGTCCACATCCACCGCTCCCCGAGTTCTCGGGGCGGCGCGCAGAGGGGCCCTGGGGGGCCCCAGGGTGGCCAGCGGGAGCTGCGGGCGCCTCTGGGGCCAGGGGCGCCTCTGACCTCCGACGGCCCCTTTCTGGCGGCGCCCGCCGCCCGCCTGGTCGCAGGGTCTCCCCAGGGTCGAGGTTGGACGAAGGGAGGGGGCGGATTGGGTCTCGGCCCCGCCGGGCGCAAGTCTCGATGCATCAGCGCGCCTCCAGCACCGGGAGGCGCCGGGAAAGCCAGCTGCTCGAGCTGATTTGCGGACCCACCCCGCTACAGCAGGCGCATCAGATGAGGAGTCGGCCTGTCTGCAGCAGTTTCTTATCCCCCGAGGGCCCCAAAGGGACCCACAGAACTTTGGAGCACCTCAGGACCCTCAAAGATCGACGAAGAACCATGGCATCCAACCGTCTTGATCTTGTTCAATGCGGCGGAGGTCCTGGTCAGGACCCTCAGAGATCGATGAAGAATGTGCCCCGCAGGTTTGTTTTTGCAAGATGTCTTGTCGTGCGTGTCTGCTGCATCCCCCTTTGTCTTCCGACCCGGCTGGCGCAGCGGCGCCCGCGCCCGCGCCTGCGCGTGCGCCACCAGTCTGGCTCCACTCGCCCCGCGCCGCGCCGCGGCGTACGCAGCCGGGTCGGCTGGTGTGCTGCTCGATTGCGAGCTTCAGGCAGCTGTAGTGCTCGTAGCAGCGGGGCTCAAGAGGCTGGTGTCGATGCAAACGGGGGTCAGTCGGAGCGCCGGATCCTGCCGGATCTTGCAGAGCCAGGGGTGCATTGAAATTTGACCCGGGCCAGTACGTAGATCCCCGATAGTATCGGGCGCCGAACGAAAGGGGGGGATAGGGAAAGGGGGGGTTACGAAATCTGCTGCATGCAGCTGGTTTCGGCCCCGCCGCCAGGCCCATTCCTCGATACATGGGCGCCTCCCAGCGACGGGAGGCGCTGGGAGAATCAGCTACGCGAGCTGATTCTCAAACCCTCCCTTTGCTATCCCCCCCCCCCCCCTTTCGCCCGGCCCGATAGTAGCGGCGTAGATCCCAGTGCCCTGGTCTTGGGCGTGGCAGCTCACAGAGCTCCTGGCGGCAGCCTGTGCCCATCTCCGCACGGTCGTAAGTGCCGGCGGGCGCGCGGGCAGAGGCATCGCAGGAGGGCCAGGTGAGGCCACCGCGGCTCTCCCGCCCAGGCCCAGCCCACCCAAGAGATCGGTCCCGGGACACGTCCTCCTGACCCCTGCATGGGGTGCCTCCTGTCGGGCCGAAGGAAAGGGGCACCTCCCCCGGGGCCGATTTTGTGAGGATGTCTCAAGCGAGGGCGCCGGTTTGGGATTCGTCGGCGGATCTGTCCGGAAACGGTGCCGGAGGCCGCTCTGGGCTCCTCTGGGCACCTCCCCCAGGGCCGGTTTTGTGAGGATGTCTCAAGCGAGGGCGCCGGTTTGGGATTCGTCGGCGGATCTGTCCGGAATGGGGGGATCGGGAAAAGGGGGGGTACGAAATTTGCTGCATGCAGTTGGTTTCGGCCCCACCGAGGGGTCCATTCCTCGATACATAGCCGCCTCCGGCGCCGAGAGGCGCCAGGAAAATCAGCTACGTGAGCTGCTTCTCACCCCGCCCTTTGCTATCCCCCCCTTTCGCCCGGCCCGATCCTGGCCCATGCTTCGAGGCGGGCCCCGCCGCGGCGACGAGGAGACTCCCACAGGAGGCCCCAACAGGACGAACGAGACTCCGGGAGGGCCGCCGTTGTCTCGACCGGCCCTCCTCCGGATGGAGGCGCCTGCCGAGGGGGCCGACGCCTGTTGGGGGGGGCGCAACTCAAGGGGGGCAGCGAGGGCTGCAAACAAAGGGGGCCTCCAGGGCCCCCCAAGGAGCCCTTCGGGACCCCCCAAAAGGGCCCGAAGCATGCACCTATCTTCCTTTCCGCTACGGTGGGGGCGTGCATTAAGGAACGTGCCCAGGAAGCTTCGGAGCCTGGAGGATTCCTTATCTGATGAGGGCGGCAGTGGTATCCATGGCCGATCCACGACTGGAGTTCCACCGGCTTCCAGACCCTGGATTCCTCATCGAGGGTTTCTTTTTCCAGAGAAAATGCCACCACCGTATCGCCCGAGCGACTCGTGAAGGAGGCCGTGGGCATCGTGCGGCCGCTAGACGTGCCTTGCCCTCCCGCCCTCCTTCCTTCCCTGAATTCTAGCATGACCACGCGCCTTTTGCGGGTGCTCGAAGAGTTAAAAAAGAGAAAATGCCACCACCGTATCGCCCCCCCCCCTCTTCAAGCGACTCCCAATCAGTGGCCAACTGCGGCGGGGGGCGTCTCTGTGTGTTTTCGCGGGCTGCCAGCACAGCGCCCGGCGCTTCGGCTGGGGCGCACTGCTTCGCACCTGGCGCCGAGCGCATCAGCCGGGCCCTCTTATCGCCGATCGGTCGAGGTCTTCGCGGCGCTGGTGCGAGAAAATCATGGAAGGAAAAAGTCTGAGGGCGAGTTGAGAAAACGGTAGCTTAGCTGGCTTTCGGGGGGGGGACCCTCGTCGCCACGGCTTGGCGCAGCTCTTGAAATTGGTGCGTCAGGACCCCAGGAAGGATCCAGGGGTCGATTTCGAGATGCCGTTGTCGGACGGGGCAAGGACGAGGGCAAATCCGTTCCAGAGCGTTCTGGAACGCTCTCAGAGCGTTCTGGAACGCTCTGAGAAGGCCGCGGCGCCCGAGACCTCACCCAGAGCCGCTGGATCCCAGAGATTCTCGGTTTATCTTCACCCGAATTGATCCTCGTCCTGATTTCGTCTTACGTTGTCTCGACTCGCCCGCCCTGCACCAAAACAAGTCGTAAGCACATACGTTCGGGGGTCCGCGCGGATTTCTTGGATCGGCGCTGGACCCCCCCCATCCCCAGCCTGCGGAGACCGCGCCGCTCCCATAGGGGGGCCCACAGCACCGGGCTCCAGGAGATCGGGGCGGACCTCCGAGAGTTTGTGCTTGTGCCGTTTCATGTCCTCGATTGCTTGCACAGTCGGACCGAGTTATACGATCGAGGTCGGTTCGGGGAGGGTACCCTACTGTTCTTCGTCTTCGTGCTCGCTGGATGTCCTTGTGCATCTTGGGGGGCGAGGGTGCCCTAGAATAGTCTTCAGCTTGTCCGCCGGAGAGTCTCATGCTTTTGAGGGGTGTTCTTCTTTCCTAAGTCGGGCTGCGCTGCCAAAAGGAAGCAGCCAATCCCATTGATTGCTTACACTTAAGCGACGCCAGAAAAAACACGTATGCCGTCTATGCCGACATTAGTGCGTAAGCTGCCCGCGTAAGGTCGCGCGTAGCGCACTCGTCTCCAATGCAGCGTGCAGCGCTGGCGGCTTGCGAAAGCGCGTAAGCCGCCGCGTAAGGCCACTGTGTCATTTCGCGTAAGACCCGTTTTTGATCGTCGCTCACTTGCCAAAATGGAGCAACCATACCCGCTGATAGGCTCGCCAGTCACATGTTTGATTCTGCAGTCGTTTTCCCGCAGAAGGACGCCTCGGGGAGTCCACGCAGGGAAGGAGGTGCGGGCCAGGAAGGCGACGGGTGGAGGGAGGCGGGAGCGAGCGTACATTCTTACCCTTCTCCGCCCTGCTCCTTCTCAACCCATTCCTTCTCATCGTTGCTTGCTATTATTCTTCATCCGGTCTCCCTCCTCCCTCCTCCTCCTCTTCCTCCTCCTCCACCTCCTCCTCCTCCTCCTCCTTCGCCCTCCTTCTCCTCGCTGCTGACCTCTTCTCTCCCCGACGGCACCGAAGCACGAACGCCGCAGCGAGGCACTGAATTACAAAGAGGAGGAGGAGGAGGAGGAGGAGGAGGAGTAGGAGGAGGAGGAGGAGGAGGAGGAGGAGGAGAAGGAGGAGGAGGAGGAGAAAGAGGAGGAGAAAGAGGAGGAGGAGGTGGAGGAGGAGGAAGAGGAGGAGCTGCTGCTGCTGCTGCTGCTGCTGCTGCTGCTGCTGCTGCTGCTGCTGCTCACGGCTGTTGGACCGTTCAAGCAATAATCCATTCCCTCGGATGGAACGAGCGACGCGTACCTGCAACAACGCGCGTGCTACCCTGACTCTTGGGCAGAGCAGGCGCAGTGATCGAACACTCATCCGCGCTCTCGGATGAAGCGAACTACGCGTACGTGCCACAGTACGCTTGCTGATCTTGCTCCAGGGCAGAGGAGGCGCAGGGGCCGAGGCGGGCCCCCCCCCCCGGCCACCGGCAGGGGGCCGAGCGAGGACCGAGCAGGATGCCCACGGGGGCCCGAGGGCACGAGCGAGAGGCGAGAGGAGCGGCGAGCGGAGGGAGCGGGCCAAGTCGGTGCAACATTCTGCTCGCTGCGTCCGCCGTCCGCCCCCGAGGTGTTGCTCGAGTGCCAAGGGGCGCGCGGCTGCGCCGCCCGAAGCCCGAGGGCCTCGGGCGCAGCGCAGCCGCACGTCAAGGCCTCGGCCTTCACTCGCTTTGGCGATAAGTCGAGGCCAACGAGGTGATGCCGTCATGTTCTCAGGTCCTCAAGGCAGGGAAGCTCAACGCATCGTCCTCGGAGAATCCTGGAGGCCTCGCGCTGTGAGCAATAGGTGTATCATTTGGCCCGCACGGCTGCCTCGTACGACATGACATGGTCTGGGACGACGTTCGCGCGGCGATGCCCCGACTCGAAGAGCCGACGTGGCTCCGGTCTCAGGCTGCCGCGCGAGGCCCTCAGGAGTTTCATCGCTGGCTCGACGTGTAGCGCCGCTTCGGCGCGACACACCATCCACTCGCGGGCGATGTTTCTCCCCCAATCCCCGAGTTTCGCCCGAAAAGTCTGGCCGCTCAGAAGAATGGGAAAACCCTGGGATACACCCCAAGGGGGCTATTCGGACGCACCCCTATCGAGAATGGACACCCCCCCATCGTGTATCCCAGGGTTAGGCCCCAAATTTCTGGTCCATTCGGAAACCCCACGAAGCCTGGGATAGGGGTCGACATATCCCCTGTTATCCACGTCCCAGCCCCCAGGCGTCCACGTCCCGAGCCCCAGCCATGCCTGCCGCCGCCTCGCGGGAGGCGGAGCGACACGCTGCAGCCCTTCCGCAGGGGCGTGGCGAGTCGCCGGCGCCGCGGTCGCGACACGCTACCGCGGGCAGCAGGCCCCGCCAGTAGGGTCGAGGATGTTCGGCCACGCGCAGAGGGGGGTAGGGGGATTCGGTAGGATTCCTTAGGATTCCTTAGGATTCCTTCGGATTCGCTAGGTTTCCTTAGGATTCCCTGCGGATCCGCTAGCATTCCTTCAGGACTCCCTTAGGATTCCCTCGGGATTCCTAGGCGCTCATGCACTTCAGGGGGGGAAGGCTTTTTAGAAGCGCTTCTGCTTCTCAGAAGGCGCGGGCACTACCTGTGGATGTAGGGCCAGCGCCTTCTAAGAAGCAGCCTCTGTCTAAGGAGGCTTCCCCCCTCCCCCCACCCCGCTCTGCGCGCGGCCGATGACGACGCAGATCCTCAACCCTACAAGCAGGGGCTGCTGCTCAGCGTGCGCGCCGCCAACCCAGGGTCGAGGATCTGCTTCGTAAAAATTGAAGGAGGTCGACGCGCCTGGCACCGCTCGGACATGTGCACATGTCCTCCGCGAGGACCATCGCGGACCGCTCGGATCATCTTGCGAAGCAATCTACGCACGAAGTCGTGGAATGCACGGGGAATGGACGCCCGAGCGATGGCAAGACGTGGGCTCGAGGATTCGCATGTGAGCGGTCGTCGAAGCGAGGCGGGTGGGTCCTGCGGTGGCTCGCGGGGCGACCCGCGGTTGGGGGGCCGCG